AAATTAAGAATCGGTTTTTTCTCAAAATAATTAAAAATTATTAAATTTAACAATTTTAATATTTAATAACTTGTTTGTCTTTTACAATGTCTCTTACAATTTTCAAAAAAATAATGAAGAATCACATCAAAAAATTCTATACAGTTCTTTTCCTCTATATTAGTCGCATGAAAGCAAGTATGTCTCATAATCGTTGCGGTTATGAATTATGTTGTATTATGAATAATAGTATCTTATAATATTAATAACAACATTCTTTTAAACATAGTGAAAGACACAGTCAAAAACTTTTAACGATTTCGGAGTAGTGTCGTCCATGAATCGAGCATCGCGCACTACGACAAACATCAACGAAATGAGAAGTAGGAACAGTAGGGCGTGAATACCGACACGACACATTTTGATTTCAAGCAAAAAAACATCGACCTTGGGTTAACCAATCGACGATTGGTCGACCCAGAGTCGAGCGTTCTAGTGCATGAATAAAAAAATCATTTGAGAGCAACGTGAATGGTTATATATGCTATTAGAGATGCACCCACTCTCTTTCTAAGGATGAAAATTTTTTCGCAAACATAAACTACATAGAAGAAAATATTTTAATATTTTCACATGTTTAGCAACGTAAAATATAAACCAAAGTATCTAAACATCATTCTAGATAAAGATGATACTTTTTTTCATCTAAAATGTAGATAATTAATATTTTTATTATATAGATAAAGATAAGATGGTATCAAAAGTTCATCTACATAGATGATCATCTAGATCATTTTATCCAGATAAGATCAAACACTGATTTTAAGCGTGCGTGATTGATAAGAACCACTTTATGAATGTATTTTTATATTACCATTCGAGGAACAACGCAACAGGCTTGATAAGCCTGTAAAATTCAACAAGTTGTTTGACAACAATAACTAGCATAAATAAATATTAAAAGCCTAGCGTATTACATGTTTAATAAAAAATATTTCTATAGGTGCTGTCTAATATTACATTTTTATTCATTCTAAAATGTCTGACGAAATTTTAATGAATTGATACGTTTCTCTCTCTTATCGAGAAAAGGTTCTTTTTTTTTTCAAACAAACGATATTTTACAATTAATCGAATCATTCACCGTATCACTCACGAGAGACATTTATTCGTCAGAGTGTAATAACGCGCGTCACTTTACGATGAGTAATAGCGTAACGCAATTCTATAACTTGACTTCACCGCGAGTAGGTTTGCGATACCTACGTGACTACATATACGAGCAATATTTTTCTCTTTATGAATATTAAGCAATTCGTTGAATTGCAGTTTCATGCCTTATATACTAGCTCCTTTTCTTCATCGAGAGACAACGTCGTTCGTATTGTATATCTTAACGTCTATCACGCGGTCGACGTTGCTTCCAGGTAGGGTTGCCATCCGTCCGGATTTCCCCGGATTTGTCCTAGTTTTAAAGGCGTCGTGGAGCGTCCGGGCGGGTTTTTCGTAGCAGTCCGGATTTTATATAGTTTTTTATAACAGTTGCCCAAACTTAGCAACAAATGTATGACATTTTACAGAGAAATGAAAGCCTACATAGAAAACTGGGTGAAACCATTGAATGAATTTGAAAATTTTGATTGGATGTTTTTATCTAATATATCTGAAAATACCAAATGGACCGCCGTTTTAAACACTGTTTCATTTTTACAAGCCAGAAACACCGAAATTGATGACACAAAATTAATAGACGAATGGATAAATTTGAAAACCTTTAGTCGAAACAAGACAAGACAAGCATTTAACCACAAATGAACTTTGGCTTAAATTTTTTAAAACTCCGAATGCTCATACATGCACTGAATTATTGAAGATAGCACAATATTTTTTCTGCATACCAACTCATAATGCAAACGTAGAAAGGGTATTTTCACTAATTGTACAACAATGGACAAAAGAACGAAATTTGTTGGGATTACACACTGTCTCGTCACTAATTAAAATAAAATATAATTTTAAAGATGTAAGTTGTGTCGATTTCTACAAATTTCTTCTTGGCAAAAAAGATATTTTGAAAGTAATAGGAACAGTTGAAAAATACAAGTCTCAAAACGAAAACAATTAAATTTTTAAATTTTAGTTAACAATATTGAAGATGTTTTTTTAAGTTTAAGATGACTTATTATTTTTGTTACAAAAATGGATATTTATTTCTGTTAATTTAGAGAGAAATAATATTTATTATAAATTTCAGTTTAATATTGTTATAAAAAACAAAATTAATAATAAATATATTTCATAATTATTTAAATTTTCGTTTTATTTGTAAAAGTTTTAGGTATAAAAATGTTAAATATTATATTAAATTAATTAACTAATAATCAAAATTTATTATAAAAAAATTAATATTAACATAAAATGTCAGGGTTTTAACTGTAAAATCCGGGGATTTAGAGCTTACTGTCCTAGGTTAGTGATTTTACAAATGGCAACCCTACTTCCAGGTTACGTTCAGAATCGTTGTACGGATGCACCCAGATGTTGTTTTATCCTTGTTATTCGCGAACAATAAGCAAGGATAACATTTGAGTGCGCTTGGATGATGATTCTGAACCCAGCTCAATTACTTGGTCATTGACAGCGCGTAATTACGTCACCAGAAACAGAAAGGCTTCGAACGTATATAAAAGGTGAGGCGGTTTCTAGTGTGAGAAGTTCTTGAATAAGGAGTATACGTAACTCGAAGCGGCAAGGAGGTAAAACAAACGGCGGCGGCGCGCGCGCGGATGTTTTACACCAATTCGTTTCGTGAATCTAGCACGGGAGAAAGTGTTGCCTCTGCTGACCGTTTCATTAGTATTGTATATGTGAGACGACACGTCAGATTGTAATGACTGTGTGTTCCCAGCTTGCGCCAAGGAACGAAGAACCATACTCATGGTAGCCGCACGATCTATCTCTGTGGTGCGATATTAAGAAAGCATGGAATGATGACCGAACTTAATCGATGTCGATAGTACTTTTTTAATTCCAAATTATAAAAATATCGATAATAGTAATATCTTTAATTTTTTCTTTTCATTATTATTCTATCTTATTCAAACGCATATATATATGTATATTGCAGCACCATCTCTTGTACCTAAATGCATTTATACTTTGTTTACCATTTTAATGTTTGTTTCTATCAATGTAGTTTAAGTTTAAGCTCAGTTCAACTAACAAGTAAACCTGTCCAAGTGTAACACTCCAATTTTGATGACTTTTTAGTATATTGTTCCCCAAACAAAAATAAGCAGCAAGTATTTTTTTATGTGAGGGGTGAAATACTCCTTCGAAAGAAATCATTTTCTCTCTTTCGAAGCGAATATCTTCGAAATTATAAGAGGTAAAAAAAATTTAGTATAAAAATTAAAAGTGGCTTCAAGAGTATTTTCGAAATATAATTTTAAAAAATTACTTTTTATAAATAAATAATTTTCATTAAAAATAAATAATTAAAAAAAAATTTTTTTTAATTATAGTTCTAAAGCACTCTTGAAACCATTAAATTTTTATTCTAGAAATTTTTTCTATTTTTTATAATTTCGAAGATATTCGCTTCACAAGAGAAAAATCAATTTTTTTCAAAGGAGTGAACACTCCTTAAAAATGCGTGATATGGACACGTATAAAAAAATACGTGTTGCTTATTTTTGTCTGGAGAACAATATACTAAAAACTCATCAAAATCGGAGTGTCTCACTTGAATAGGTTTATTTGTAAGTTACTTGAACTAACTCATTATGTTTTTCTAAAGAATTAGAGAAAGATGAAAAGTGTAAGTTGAACTGAGATTAAAGTTAATATATTCATTGGTCTTTGCTAAGCATATACATACGTTTACACATAATTTGCAGTTAAATGTAAAATCTTTTTTTTAAGCTTTCAATTTTAGTTTAATAAATTCATTATTGTTTATTTACATAATCTTACGGATAGTACCGCGTCCTTTTGTCCATACCAGCTAAAACTTTTGTATTAAGAAAATATCTACGTCAGGTGATAGCTCTACGAGTTGAAAAATGTTTTTAACTCGTAGAGTTAAACGGGTCTCCAATATAAAGTCTACATTTCCCCACCTCATAATTTTACGTCCGTTTCAATCCTGTGAAAGGATTTTTTATTCCATTCAGTCAATCGGAGATTTTAATTAGTTTGTAATATACCAATAATTTCGTCATTCAAATACTCCCTCAAAAGAAAAGAATATATATTTTTAATGTCGATGGACTCGATGTCATTGATTCTAGGAGACATGAATCTCCTGCAGGTTAAGACTAAACTCGCGATGATACGTCTTCCATGAAGACTGACATTTATCTGTACGGCAGCGGTAACGACGGCCGATCGCGATCTCCAATGCGTTGCGAAATATCGTCGCGCAATCCCGATAGTGGATCGAAATCGATTGGTCGATATTTGAATTTCCATGGTTGCTAATATAAAACGCCGCATCGGTCTTTGCTCGACTTTCACCAGCTCTCGGAGGCGAGTGATTTTTCTTCAACGACTGCTGCTACTGGTCGACAAAGTCGAACTTAAGGAAATGTCATGGCTGCGCAAATCTTGACCGACTTGATATCTCACACGGTCGCGTGTTACGTCAGCATACATCTAACAAAGATATCAAATCACGACGCAAAAACTTTTCCGAGCAGTTTTTGCCTCGTCGAGGTGATAAATTTTGTTGTGCGTGCCACAATCTCTCATTCTAGAACTTTAGCTATTTTCAGATTTTTCTTAAATAGACAAATGTGGCTACTATTTCCGTACACGAAATCATAAATTTTAGAAATCTAATGGACATTTCAAATTTTTTCTTTCAAATTTTTTTTTATTCTCTTTCAATCATCATATTATTACAATTTCTCGATATGATAAATATTCTATAAAAGAATATTGTTGCCAAGAAGAACTTGCCAAAATTTTCATGAAAAACTTACATAAAGTTGACTAAACATTTCTTTGTCTACTTATAGATATATGACGGTACGCGTTGATGCACCCGAGAAACGTCGAGGCATATTGCATTCGAAACCTACCATGTTTTTCTTGAAAACGACATCTGCTCCCGCTGGAGATGTGAGAGAAGAATCATCGTTTGATTCCGAGTCGAGTTTACCCTTTACGGCTCTCGCTGTAAAAGATGTAATTTATAAAGGAGAAGGAAACGCCAATATCGTTGTCACCCTACCACACGTAAGTTAATTACTGTAAGATAGATTAGGTTAAGAAGCGTATTCTTTGTTCAATTTTAGATTAAACTTATTTTATTATATTTTGTACTATATATTTCGAAAGGCGCGCGATTGAGTGGGGAGATGCGTGCGATCGATAAAACATTCGCGGAAAAATTCGGAAGAGAGCCGGGAGCGGGCGCGCAGATCGAGAGTATAGTCACAGTATAACCATACCCAGTAGCGACACTGAGTGTCGGCATCTTTGATGTAGTAGGTTCTAGGTCACGTGGTATACCGCCGTATTGTTAAATGTATCGGCGCTGCGATTAAAACGTATGCACGGAAATATAACACAAGAACAAGAACCTTCTCATCCCTTTTCATGTCTTCTCATTACTTCTTATTTCTTTTATTTTGTAATATACATGCAATATCGGGTGTTAGATTATTTGTGTCTTCATATGTACGTATAAATATAATTAAAAAAATATTTTAATAAATATGCAACATTCAATTTGAGTGACAAATCTGAAGAAAATACATTAATATCAGGTAGGCATTTTAATGATGATTATATCACTCTTTTCTAGTAAAATAACGATCAATTTATTATTATTATTAATTTCAAGAAACGAAAGTCACACGAAGAACTTTCCAGCTACGACACAAGTAGACACAGTGTAACATAGTGAATTATTACATCCTTATTATTTACCTATGTTAAACAAGGATGAAACGATTCTCTGTGTTACACAGTGTCTGATTCCGTCCTTGCTGGAAAGCACTCCGTCATGAAACTGTAAATTGAGGTTACCTATAGTGTGTGTACTCTGGACGCATCCATATTGTTAAATGTACAAATTCACGCATGCGTACTAAAATTTGGTCAAGGTCAAACCGGCTAGTGTTGCTACTGGGTATGGTTATACTGTGGTATAGTAGTGTCCCTAGAAGATAGAGTCTGGCCACATATCGTGATTGTTTTCATTGACCAATCCCAAAAACCCCTCACAATGGCGTAACCAATCATACAGTACAGAAATCGCACGTATATATGTATATAGATTACAATCTACTTGAAAGTATGAAGGCTGAAACTTGAATTCTAAGGGCCTAAAGAAGAAGAAAAAGAAAGTATGAAGGCTACGAATGCTTCGAAATATTTGTAGCCTAATCCAGACAGTACATAATATTTATAAAATATTTACAAAATATTTTAAGATGTATTTTTAATTTTGTAAATATTTTGTGGTCCTATAGATTGCATAGATTATATTTATTGTAAATATTATGGAATATTTATCGTACATATTGCAGTATATAAATACTATAAAAATACTTAATAAGATATTATAATCTAAATAAAAAATATTTTTTTTATTTATATTTATCATAAATTAAATCAAGTTATATAAAATGTTTAGTTTATTTTAATGTTTTCAGATGAAGTTTATATAAAATATGTATAAAATATATATACATATATGATATATTTATATAATATTTCAAATAATAAATAATAATAAATACTTATGAATGTTTATCGTAAATATTTTGAGATGTCTGGGAATGGATTTAAAAATTAAATTTCTTGTATGATTAAAACATATTGTAAGAATGTTATTATATTTGCTAGGTTAGAGAACTACTTATGGATTTAAACTTCTAACAAATATGAAATTGACGAGTTGCAACACGATAATAATTTAACTTACTGTATATAAATTAATCGACTGTCCTTGTGTCCTTTAAAAGGATATACGTATGTATACGTATGTCCGCGATATCACGTTTATGTATGTATTTCGAGAAAGCTGTGATCAATTCCCACCACTTACTGACGCCATTTTGAGGGGTAGTGGCAAGACCATCGACATATAGTATGGACTGCGCAATCCATACATGAAAAGTGTCCGGCGAATTAGACAAAGAGGAAACGCGGTGTGAGTCAATCGCTCGCTCTTTCTAATACTCCTGTTGGCTTCTTTTATTACCGCCCAGTGGATGTCGTAATGTATCGCTAAACGATAGAAAGAGACAAAACTATTAGAAAGAAACAGAGCTTGACCCACACCGGTCGCTATCTCTTTCTTTCGGGCCGGTCATATTATTTCAGCCTGTTCGTAATCCATACTATATGTCGATGGACCAGACTCTATCTTCTAGGGACACTACACTAGAGTATAACGGCTGGCGGACAAGCGACATACGAACGCGTCGCAGAAGTAAAGGCCGCAGCGCAGACTCTTGCATAATGCATAGTGCATAAGAGAATCAACCAATCAGAGTCCTTCTTTTCCTCCCACTTCACGGAAGAGAAACATTTTGATTGGTTGATTCTCTTATGCGTCATGCATTATGCGTCATGCAAAAGTGTGTGCTGCGACCTTAAATCATGCAAGTTCTGTGTAGTGTGCAAACGAACGTCTCATCTTTTCCTATACAATCACGTCTCGTAAATCAACATCCTAGACATACATCTTACACTACATTGCATATTTTTCTTATTTTGTGTATTTCGTCTCGGATACATTGTTAGATATTAGATAAGCAATGGATCCCAATCCCTTCAATCCCTTGAGTTTCAACTTATTTCCGTTGTTATTTTCAAAGTACACAACGTTTATTATTAACATGTGTGTACTTAGTATAATAATAAACTTTGGAAATTGTATAAAGGACCCCGCACAAAACTTATGGAAAATGGTTTTCGGTCAAATTGGCTGAAATTTTACTATGTTATAGTTTTCGCCATGCTGATAAAAAGTTATCATTGCACCAAGTCCCAAAAGTCAATATTTCCCAAGATATAAAGGGTCAAAGTAGTGAAATATGGTCATCTGCAGTAGTAAGACGTATGTTATAAGTATAAAAAAACGTTATTTTAAAAGCACCAACGTCTACAGAAAACTCCATTACCGGTATCTACATTACAATAGTCAAAGAATTTAAAGCTCACAAGTTAATGGTCTTAGAATAATCCACAGACATTGTGATACAAAAAAAAGTAGGGGAGAGTGGGGCTAGTTGTAACATTTTTTGTAAAACAGGTTCAGATTTTTTATCACTTTGAAATTAATAAATTATGAATAGTTAGTTTTAAACTATGATTTCTTAGACTTAAAATATTATATAGATGTAAAAGATATTTTTCTTTTAACTATATAATTTTAGATTTTATTATATTTCGTAGATGTTACTTTTAATCCCGGATCTGGGGTTAAAAGTAACACCATTCGCATAAGTAATAATATCAAACACTACATATATGTAGATACATATATATACTATTGTATATAAATGTATATACTATTGTGTATATATATATAATGTATCTACATATACAATAGTATATATACTATTGTATATGTAGATACATTATTTGTTACTCAAAGGTAAATGTATAAAAACCGAGACCAAAATTACAAAAAATTGTGAAGTTTATTTACGTATATTTTTTAATAACCTCTTGCACATACGCCCGACGATGATGCGTGCGCTTCTGATTGTCATTAAACTATTAGATGGTGCCACTATAGACTTTTGTCTTTATCTATAATTTCATATCATGTTTATAACATTTTTTTATTTAAGTGTTACTACTTACCCCTGTTACTTTTAGCCCCAGTCTCCCCTACACATCCGAATTTAGTGCTCGCTCTAAATAATTATAAACAATTAATCAATAGCAAAAAAAGCGCGCGCGGCGCACTAAAATGCCTCGTCAGGTGGTCAGAGTTCCCTTAATTATTTTTCCCACGCATTGTTAGACCAACGTACAACAAATTAAATTAAATTAATATCCGCTCAAATAAATTTGCAAATTAAACTTAATATACCTCCCAGGTCAAGAACAAATTGAGCTTATACTAGTTGTTAGAAATATATATAACGCCAACTTATGATATTCTTCATAATATACTAAATTAATTTTTAAGAATTCGGTTGCGGCTGTTGAGGACTCTGTGAAGTCGAAACTGTCCGTATATACCGGTATTATTATTATAATAAATTTATATATATTTCTAACAACTAGTATAAGCTCAATTTGTTCTTGACCTGGGAGGTATATTAAGTTTAATTTGCAAATTTATTTGAGCGGATATTAATTTAATTTAATTTATTTAAAAATATTAATTGGCCGGAACTATTGTTATAATCTATCAGGAACTGTAGAACTCTTCAAGAACTATATGATTCCATCGAAAAAATCGACTTTTTCGAATCCTGCGGTGTCACGCGAAGTTAGCACCGCATATTTTTATTTTTTAAAATTTTTGGCTTAAATCGATGGAACTATTGATAAAACCTATTAGGAACTGTAGAACTATTGCGGGTGCAAGCAGAACTGTTATTAAAATTTCCGATTTTTAAAGTTGAGATGCTAACTTCACAGAGGCTATACTCATTCCGTTTCTTTTATTCGCTTTTTTTTCCACAAAGCTTCAGCGAGGTACTCTTATGCGAATTATTCCCTTGAAGATCTTTATGATTTCGCAATCAAGACAAACAAAGCCTGAATAAACTGCGATTTTTTTCTATTTTGCTTTTTTTAGATTTCACGAGAGTATCGCAACGTGTCTTTTTTTGACTCCATTTTTTAATTGTCGTCCAAAATTTCGATTCTCTTCTCGGCGTCATCAAAAGAAGTTGATTTTTTGTGTTCAATTTTGCAATTGTCGCGAAGGTCTCATCGAATACAAGTAAAATTTTCTAGATTTGATCATGGACGAATAAAAGCGTGATGTTTTACTTTCACACTCATACTTTTAAATGGATTAATTTGCTTAGGAATCTTTACAAGTGCGCAATAGGTATAGTGTCGAAGAGAAAAACGGAGAAGCCCGTCTTGTAACGCTTAATACTATCTGCGATGCAACTGCTATAAGTGCTGTTTATAGCGAATAGCGAATTGCATAAATGCAATACAATTAACATGAAAATGTGCAAAAAACATGCTAATAACTATTCAATAACGCAATAAATGCCACTGGTAGAAATAGATATATAGGAGAACAT